GGCTTCAGCACTGAGACTAATGGATTTTTGTGTTTTCTGATTTACATAAATCCATACAAGTCTGCTAGGCACTTCACACCTTTATTTTTACTTTCACATTTGAAGTACAGCAATATGGATAGATAAGGTGTATATTTAAGATAATAACATGAACAGACACATTCCTGGAGCTACAGCTATTTAAAAGTGACACTAGCATCAAGATACTCATTCTTATTCTGGGAAGGCTTTAAAAAACAATCACTTGTTATGAAACTAATTGCATTGCCAAATGCTTCTTGGGTTCATATGTAAAAATCATCATCTTCTCTATATTTTACTGTTTTAAATCAAGGCAAGCAATAGACTTCGTGATTAGACTTAGAAGTTTGATTTTGATGCTTATAACCCTCCAGGCTCTTAAGTGAGTAACATTTCCACCTTGATAATGCACACCATATATCACAAAGAAAGATACTTTGTGCATTACCAAAGAAACGTACAAATAACAAGCAAATATGCCAAGCCTCTACTGGAATTATAATGTGGGCAAGTATGCTTAAATGGTAGTTGAAACCATTTTCTAAAATTTGTATCTGTTCAGTATAAGTATTACTGCTTCCCAGCCATCTATTTATTCCTAATTCCATGCCTATGATTACCCCTTATTTTAGGATAGAATACCCTTCTTCCTACTTGATATCCTTCTCTTCTTTCAAGATCCAGCCCAAACCTGGCCTCCTCCACATAGCCTACCCTGAACCCCAGTTATACATACCACATTTTTCACATTCCCACAGTACTGCCACATAAAAATGGAGAGCACCCATGTTATTCTGTCATGGATTACCTTCAGCTGTCTATGCTAATGCCATTCCCTGAGACAGCAAATGTCTCAGTCATCTTTGCTTTCCATGAAATGCCTTAGTGCAGTACCATACTTATTCTGTTCTAAACGCTCACTAAAGCTTCGTTCAACTCAAATCCAACTTTGTTCAACTAAACTGAATTAGGAAACTGATCAAATAGACTGAATTCACTGGGGTATATAGTTTAATTTTCTTTCATCACTTCTTCAAACATACTTGCAAATACTTTCTCTAAACATTCAATTTAGAGGTGATCCAAGTCAACTTATGATATGCATCAGTTTCTATAATAGCTCATTATCACTCACCCTTTAAATATGAATTTTCTACCTAGACATTATTTAAACCCGGAAGTACAGTTATATATCATAATACTATACTAATATCAAAGGCAACCCAATAGATAATTCTAGAGACCAGATTCATCATTGGCAAATGTACCACATCAAGGTTTTCAAGGAGGCTCCAACATCATTCTATCCCAACATGAAGTTATTCATGTTAAAAGCTGTTAAATCTTGAAATTTTCCCATAGTATATGCTGGTTTTTTAGATTACATTTTTATTTCTTAATTCATCAAACATTCTCCAGATACAAAAAAAACTTTTCCCAAAATGAATCACTAGCTATAGGACACTATTTCAATATTTATTCAAAGATATACCATTTAACTCCTAGTATCCTCATCATGAAATGGAGATAATTCTATACGCTTTCAAGGGTGTAGACAGAACTAGAAATAACTTATGTAAAGTACCTTACTCAATGTCTGGTTGCAGAGCTTCAATAAACAGTCCACAGTAACAAATCACTCCATTCCACTAATTTCCCAATGTCTGAAATTCAAAAAATTACCTCCCATTCTCCTGAAGAAAAAGCAGCTATAATCAGAGACCATGAAGTTAGAGGCAAAGATGGTATAAGTATCAACCTAAAATCACTGCTCTACTAAAACAAACACAGTAAATACATACCTACTATACCCTTACCTTACATTAACTTTTCTCCAAATCTTTCTTGAAGTCCATGTAAATCATCATAACCTAAAAATGTCATAACTAAATAAATCCTTTGTGAAACATAGTTGATAGAAAAAAGGACATAACTGATGAATTCTTAACATCCTCCTCATCCCAATATTTTGTCATCTCAGAAAGTAACTCATGAGTCTACCACATAAGAAAGTAGGTGAGGATAAAACCAAATGTTCTTTTGACTGCTGATACAAACCCAGTTTTAAACACTTGGATTTTCTTATTTTCTTGACTATATTTAACAAATCAATTAATGGCTCAAGAACCATGGCAAAAATTTAACACAGATGTTTTTCTGCAACTAAACATAGAACACTCAAATTGAATAGCACTAGTCATTCTGCTATGAATACTTCTTAATGCTATTATGAGATGGTTCTCAATTTCAATCTGGACAGGTAAATTGAGAATAACTATAACCCATTAAATTGTATTTATGTACTATTCTATGTTACCTTATTTTGAAAAGAAAAAGTAACTGTAAACTACAGTGCTCTATTTATTATCCCTTGCCCCTTACACTAAGCCTCCAAAAACCACAAGGGACGTCCAGATTTCAATGAGCTACTAACACTAAATTCACATCTCTTACTAAATATATCTTATCTATAAGGCAAAAAGGTGATTGCTATTTTATTTATATTTACAATGATGAGGATCAAACCCAAGGTCTCATACATGTTAGGCATTCACTCTACCACTGAACTACATCCCCAGCCCTTGATTGCTGATTTAAACACACACATACACACAGACAAATGGTCCTTCCAAAATAACTTACATTTCAAAATACCATATATTTTCAAATATTTATCACACCAACCTCAAATCAATCCATTGGGCAATTAAATTATGTACAATAAGAGACATTCTCATTCAAACTCCTTGGGTTATGAACAGAGGACATAGCTCAGAGGTAGAGCACCCATCTAGTATACACAAGACCTTATGTTTGATAACCCACACATACACATATATGTGTATACATACATACCCAGGTACACAAAATCCCTGAGTTTTAGGATTTAAGCATCTATACCAACAACCCTCTTCTTCCAAATTCAAAAGAGTTTGAGGTACTCTCATGCTACAATAAAACTGCATTTCAGTTAATGGCATTGCTGCAATAACAAAAAATAGCTTTAAAAACCATGAAATCAATTCCACATAAAACTATCATATGATTATGACCCTAATCTGACTTGTAAATTAGAAGTGTGTAAATTCCACTGTCCAGCAACCTGCAGATCATCTTCCTAGCAGGATGGCTATGTTAGTGGCACTACACTCTTGACCAAAAACATGCAGTCAGGCAATGGCATACTGACAAATTAAATAGTATATGCTTTGAATAAGGATTTCAAGATAAGTCATGAGGGAAGCTTCATTTGTAAATGAGCTGTACAAGTTAAATAAAATGTTTTATATCCTAGACTGTCAGAGCTTCTGTTGAATACTAACATTAAAAAAAAAAAGTTGACAATTCACTGAGGGTAAAAATGGAATCCAACTTTGGGAGAATCTACCCACTTCATTTCCCAGTGCTACTTTCAAATCCTCTATTAATGGTATAAATTGATACATACCAAGAAAAAAAAAGATTATTAACCAAATAAAACACCAATTTGATTCAGAAACTACTTTGATGTTCCAGTTTTATGGTTCAATAGCTAAAAAAAAATACACAAGTTTATTCTAATCATACCTGCTTGCTAAATTTTCTAAGTGTATATAATTAATAGGTCTGAAACAATTTAGAAATTCAACATTCTATATATACTAGTACTCTACATTATGATTTTCTATTTACTATTGAGTAAAGGAGTTTACTCAAAAAGATGGTTCTAAGAAAATCCAAGTAGCTTTTCACAAATAGAAATATTTTAAATGCTGTACATGAGAGCACAGTTTCAAGAATCCCAAACAAAAATTTCCAAGTGAAAATAATTGTCCTTAAATTAACCTACTTAGTAAACAGTTGTTATTTTTCACCGAATTTCCTTAGAGTTAGAGAACCAAATTAGAAAAGGTAATAACTACATAAGTTTTGTGAATAAAGATAGAATGTTTAAAGTTTGATTAACAAGGCAATTACTATATATCATTATGGAATGATAATGAAGTACACATTCCCCAAATAAAGATCATATTTACTTCAATCACACCAAGCTCTATTACAAATATTTTTTTCTTTTTTATTTTGTCATAAAGTCCTTGGAATCATAGTAGGGCCTGATGCCATATTGGTGTCACACTCTGCCAGTCATCCACAGAATATGCCAGACTTCTCTTTCAACTTCTTTGTCTACTACTGCATCACTGGACCCAGCAGGCAGCTCACCCAGACAATCTCAGTAACGGATTTTGGCTCTCTGTGCATAATAGATGACAATTCTTATGAAGTATCCAGTTTGTCTTATAGCTGAGAGATTTGAACCTGCTGCAGATGTCACATCTAAATTCTTGAACGGATTTTTATCATCAGTGTCACCTGAAACCTGCTATGTGCCAAGCACTATACAGAGTATTGAGGACATCACCAAGATCAAGATAGATTCACTCAGTCACACCCTTGGGGTACATATAGTCACTTAGCTACATCACCAGTCCTTTTTGAGATGAGTCTTGCCAAGTTGCTGAGGCTGGTCTCAAACTTGCAATCCTCCCACCTCAGCCTCCCAAATCACTCCTCCTCCTTGTCTCTCCCTCTTGGCCACCGGCGCGGCCCAGCGGGCGGCGACTCTCTGACACCGAGCCGCTCCCCCGCAGCCGCCACCGATGCCACCGCCCCTCCCGGCCTGCCTGTTCCTGCTCTTCCTGGCCTAGCCCGGCCCCCAGGGCCTTCTACATTCCACCCACTTCCCCTCCTGAAGCCTCGCCTGCACCCCAGCTGCAAATCCAGCACAGAACCTGCCTGGGCCAGCACCAGGGCAGCACTGGACCCCTGGAATCCACCCTGCTGCCCTGCTGCATAGTTGCCCTCCAAACTGGGTGCAGCAAGGACTCAGCTCCAGGGAGAACAGGGCCAAGGAAGCAGGGCCCGGAGGAGCAGGGCCTGGGGAAGCCGGATTAGGGGGTGCAGGGCCCAGGAGAGCAGGGCCCAGGGGGAGCAGGGCCCAGGGGAGCAGGGCCCAGGGGAGCAGGGACAGGGGCAGCAGGGACCAGGGGAAGCAGGGCCAGGGAGATCAGGGCCAGGGGAGCAGGACCAGGGGGAACAGGGTCAGAAGGAGCAGGGCCAGAGGAAAAAGGGCCAGGGGGAGAAGGGCGCAGGCTGAGAAGTACCGGGGGAGCAGGGCTTGGCAGAGGAGGCCCAGAGGGAGCAGGGCCCATGGGTTGCACTGCCAGGGAGAGCAGGGCACGGGGGAGCAGGGGTAGGGAGAGCAGGGGTAGGGGGAGGAGGGCCTAAGGGAGCAGGGCCAGGGGGAGCAGGGCCCAGGGGGTTCATGGCCAGAGGGAGTAGGGCCCAGGGGAGCAGGAACAGAGGGAGCAGGGCCCAGGGGAGCAGGACCAGGTGGACAGGGCCAGGGGGAGCAGGACCAGGGGAACAGGGGCAAGGGGGAGCAGGGCCAGGGGGAGCAGTGCCAGGGGGAGAAGGGCTAGGGAAAGCCAGGTCAGAGGGAGCAGGGACCAGAGGGAGCAGGGCCCAGGGGGAACAGGGCCCAGGGGAGCAGGGCCAGGGAGATCAGGGCCAGGAGAGCAGGGCCAGGGGGAACAGGGCCAGGAGGAGCAAGGCCAGGGGAACAGGGCCAGGGGGAGTGGGGCCCAGGGAAGTAGGACCAGAGGGAACAAAGCCAAAAGGCAGCAGAGCCCAGGGGGAGTGAAGCACAGGGGGKAGCAAGGCCCAGGGGAGCAAGGCCAGGAGGGGCATGGCCCAGGGGAGCAGGACCAGGTGGAGCAAGACCCAGGGAGAGCAGGACACAGGGGCAAGGGGGCCCAGGAATCAGGGCCAGGGAGAGCAGGACAAGGGGGAGCAGGACCAGGTGAAACGTGGCCCAGGGTGAGGAGGAAAAGAGGGAGCAGGGACTAGTAGAGCAGTGCTAGGGGGAGCAGGGCCCATGGGGAACAAGGCCAGGGGTAACAGGGCCAGAGGGAGCTGGGCCAGGGGAGAAGGGCCAGGGGGAGGAGGGCCTGGGGGAGCTGGGCCCAGGGGAGCAGGGACAGGTGGAACAGGTCCAGGGGAAAAAGAGCCAGAGCGAGAAGGGCTCAGGGAGAGCAATAACAAGGGGAGCAGGGCTCAGGGGAGCAGGCCCATGGGGAGCAGGGCCCATGGGGAGCATAGCCAGGAGGAGCAGGGCACAGGAGAGCAGGGGTAGGGGGAGCAGGGGGAGGGGTAGGAGGGCCCAGGGAAGCAGGGCCAGGGGGAGCAGGGTCCAGGTGAGCAGGCCCTGCAGGAGCAGGGCCCTGAGGGGGCATGGCCAGGGGGAGCAGGGCCCAGGGGAGCAGGGCTAGGGTGAGCAGGGCCCAGGGGGAGCAGGGGCAGGGGGAACAGGGCTAGAGGGAGCAGGACAAAGGGAGAAGGGCCAGGGGAAGCAGGCCCAGGGGAAACAGGGCCAGGGGGAGGAGGGCCCGGGGGAGCAGGGACAGC